GCAACCAACTGTGCCTTGGGCATTCAATGATTCAAGGTCGATGTGAACGGACCGAAGGAGGTGCAGCTGTTGTTCTGCCGCTTGCAGCTGTAGAGATGAAGCAGGCTGCGCGGAGGCTGCAAGGCACACAGGCACACAGGCACACTCCTGGCAGGTCCTTGCAGGGCCCTGAAGTTGGCGAAGGGCTCAGGAAAGAGGAAGTGAACAAATTTCAAGCCGTATTTGCACATATTTCCCAACAGCCGAAGGATGACGGAGTTGCTGTTGTTCCCGCCGTATCTGCTGTGAAATTGAGTTTGCAAGAGGTGGATAGGGCGCACAAAACGTAAATGCGGGTTGCAGTCTTCTTGCCGGGGGGCGAAAGGGAGGGGTCAGGATCTGGCAACTGCTCAAATTTCAAGGGTCCTGCAGGGGAGAGCGCACTGGAATAGGGTGGACAAACAAGAAGCCAGGGGTTGGGCAAACAAGAGTGAAAACAAGGAAACGGCCACCGAAGCGCGCTCTCGCAGCATCGGCTCAGCTCCTGCCACGCTCCGGGTGTTGCGCAGCTCCACGGGAGGCGTGGCACCAGGGCTGCAGGTGCGAGCACTTTTGGTTTCGTTTGCTTCCGCGTCATGCGGTGTGATGCGGTGTGCAGGCCCATTGTTCGATGCATCCGGTGCGTTCGGCCTTGGTGCCAGGCCATGGCTGAGAAGCAAAGCTCGGGCTTCCAACAGATGCTCGCCAGGCAGCAGCTTGGCCGCAAGGACGCCAAACGCCGCCAAACTAATCCGGAGAAGGTTGTTGCAAGAGCATGAGCCGCCCTGAGGTCGCCAGCAGGGCTGTTCGCTAACTTTCAAGCACGCCGCTGGGGGATGCCGCCGCTTGGCTATGGGAAGGATGGCGGTATGGCTTCCTTTTGGTAGGAAGGTCATGCGCAAGCTTGAACGAGTGGCTGAGATTGCCTTTCGCAGCTTCATCTCCTGTGCGTGCTGATGTTGGCCACTTGGCAGCAAGTCTGAACGAAGGACCCAACCAGTGCACTGCGGGCACAGATATGACTCTGACTGCTTCAATTATGCTCAGGCTGGCCCTGGCGAATGGACTGGGGCGGCCACGACCCAGCCAGCCCTATTGCCGAGATGTGCCTTGACTTGACCAAGGGCCGGCAAAGTTGAGGGGCTCAATGTAAACAGACGTGCAAGCTTAGCCGAGGCACATCAACTACCACAACACGGCCTGGGGAGTCATGATCTTCGTTGCTTGGATCAGCAAGGGTCGGGGAATGGGGTGCGTTGGACAGCTGTCAGCAGTTGGACAACTTGACAGAGAGCATGCTTTAAACTGGCCACTAGTTCTCTGCAAACTGCGAGGATTGCCAATGTACCACTGGTGGTGTGATCTCTCCCTTAAGCATGCTCTGGTGGTTGCATTCTGTTTGCCACTTCCGTTGCCTCGACGATAATGCATGCTTGTCGTGCAAGCGCTTTGGCACACATAGCTTCTTTTATACCGGGCAAGACGCGCGTGGCGAGTTTTCGAGAGGAGAGGGTCCGAGGTGTGCACACCTGTCGTCTACCTCCTGTGTAAGCGCTGAGTGGGCAAGTGCGCAGCTGAACGAAGTTGCGAGGCTGCGAGCCACCGATTTCCTGAGAAGCAAGCCCCCTTGATGCATTTTCTGGCCAAGACGTAGCAGTGTGGGGTTGGTGCTGGGGGCTTGCCACCTCGTGCGTGGAGATTGGGCTTTCATTACAACAATGCAGACATGTTGTGTCTTTTTTACGGGCATCTGCCTTGACTTGACATACAGTTATGGTCATGCTCCTACGTCGTGCCACTTTGGTTTCTTCTTGGCCATGCCACACACACTCGTGACATCATCAAGCTAGTTCCGGCTTGGATTGTGAGAGAAGAAAAACCCGTCGCGGATGGAATTGGAGCACAACATCACCTCCAGCGTTCATGACATCCTGCAATAAACATGATGTTCCATTTGCCAAGGTCCGTCAGAGTCAATGAGCCATCGAGCCTCAGGCCTACCGGTGTGCACCAGCTCGTTGAGTCCGGCCACTGATCATGGGCTTCTGCAGGTTTACCATGCCCAAGCCGCCAAGCAACACATCGCATGGAGCTCGCTCAGGCGCAGACCTTGGCCCGAGGCCCAGCCACCCGTGCGTCACACGGCTGGAGAGGACACACGTGAGAGGTTGCATGGCTGCAGCCTGTAGAACACAAGGTGCTGCAAGGTGCAGCGCGACACCAGGTACTCATGTCCCTGCAGGCTCACAAGGACGGCCAGCGACCCGTCATTTCATGCGAGGGCTGCTGAATTGAGGGACTGTTGCCAGTCGAGGACCGCATCATTTAATTACTCAGGACAACATCTGCAAAGGCAACGCGGAACCTGGGTCCTTCCGTTCGTTGCTGGCTAGCTTTTGTTGCTTTCATGGCTGAGCGTGGTTAAGCACACAGCTGGCATGTGGCCAATTGATCAACTCTCACGATGCCTTACATTGGTATGCTAGGCTCATGCCAAGTTTTCTGGCTCAAAGATGCCACTTTTCGCGGACTGATGCAACCTGCTGCGGAGGAGAAAACTTATGCTGTTGGGATTGACCTTGGCACTACGTACTCCTGCGTTGGAGTTTACAAAGATGCCGAGGTCCAGATAATCGCAAATGACCAGGGTAATCGAACAACACCATCATATGTCGCATGGAAGGATGAAGAGAGACTTCTAGGAGACTCGGCAAAGAATCAGGTGGCAAGCAACCCGACCAACACGGTGTTTGATGCCAAACGACTCATCGGTCGGCGCTTTGATGATCCAATCGTGCAGGCGGACTTGAAGCTTTGGCCCTTCAAGGTGGTCTCAGATGGCTCGAAGGATGACAAGCCGCTCATTGAAATTCTCTACCAGGACGTGGTGAAGAAGTTCCACCCAGAGGAGATCTCCTCTATGATCCTTACCAAGATGAAACAGACGGCCGAGGCGTACCTCGGCCAACGCGTGCGGGAGGCCGTCATTACGGTGCCCGCCTACTTCAACGACTCCCAGCGCCAGGCGACAAAGGACGCCGGCGAGATCGCTGGATTGCGGGTCCTGAGAATTGTCAACGAGCCGACCGCTGCAGCGATCGCATATGGCCTGGACAAGTCAGGGAAGGAGGAGATACACATCTTGGTCTTTGACATGGGCGGTGGGACCTTTGATGTGTCCGTTTTGACCATTCAAGATTCGGTTTTTGAGGTCAAAGCTACTGCTGGAGACCCGCATTTAGGTGGCGAGGATTTCGACAATCGAATACTCAGCCATTGTATTTCAGACTTTCGGAGGAAGCACTCATCAGATCCAACTCGCAACCAGCGCGCGCTGCGCCGACTGCGGACCCAGTGCGAACGAGCCAAGCGCCTGCTCTCCACCCAGACCTCTGTCACAATTGAAGTGGACGCTTTGCATGAAGGAATAGACTACAGCATTCGAGTGTCCAGGGCAAAGTTTGAAGAACTTTGCTTGGATTACTTCAAGAAAGCCATGGAGCCAGTTGAGCAATGCCTCAAAGACAGCAACTTGCCGCAAAAGTCCATCTCTGATATTGTCATGGTTGGAGGCTCCACTCGCATCCCCAAAGTGCAGGAGCTGATCAGGGCCCATTTCGGTGGCAAGGAGCTGTGCAAAAGCATCAACCCCGACGAGGCTGTCGCCTATGGAGCTGCCGTGCAGGCAGCCATCGTCTCTGGGCAGGGCTGTGAGGAGGTGCAGAACATGTTGCTGCTGGACGGCTGGGTTCGTTCCGGCAGCTTCGTCCGTGCCCGCCGCCTCCCCCCCCAAAAAAAAGAAACACACATACATGATTTTTCAAATAAACATAAACCACATGTTTGCATTTGCCGCTGGGTGCCCTAGGACGTTGCGCCTCTATCGTTGGGCATCGAGACTGCTGGCGGCATGATGCAGGTGTTGATTGAGCGGAACTCCACAGTGCCCACGAGCAAGAGCCAGGACTTCACAACTTTCGAGGATTATCAGGATCATGTCGACATTGCTGTCTACGAGGGCGAGCGCGCAATGGTGAAAGACAACAACTTCCTGGGCAAGTTCACCTTAAAAGACATGCCAAAGTCACTGAGAGGAGTTCCAAAGATCCAAGTCACCTTCACGATAGACACAAACGGAATCCTTCAAGTGAGCGCAGAAGATGCCAAGTCACACAAGAAGAGCGAGATTCAAATTTCCAACGAGAAGGGCCGCTTAACACAGCACGACATCCAGAAGATGCTGCAGGAGGCAGAGAAGTACAAAGGAGAGGATGAGATCAGCAAGAGTGACATGCTGGCCAAGGAGGAGCTGAAGGTCTACATGCAGCGTTTTGAGAAAGGCATTCAGGACATGTGCATGGTCATGTCGTGTTGGGGGAAACTTCCCCCAGGTTGGCTTTCAACATCCAAACGTGTCCCGTTTCCCGAGGACTTTGACACTGCCAAGCTCCAGGAACAAGACAAGGAGCGGCTCGAGGGCAAGTTGAAGGATGCCCAGCGCTGGTTGGAGAATGAGGGCCTCAAGGCCTCGTTCGCTATGTCCCTGACAACAACAACAAAACAACAACGCTGGAGCATTCGGTTGTGTGGGGATTTTGTCAGAATGCAGCTGGCATTTAAGCACCGGCCGCAAGAACCAACTTGAGAGAGACTCTACAGGTCTCAGTCTTATGGCTTGTGCATTGTGGACAGGCTGGGAAGCCGGAATTTGAGGCAAAGCAGAAGGAGCTGCAGGCAGTGATGAACACAGCATCTCAGAGAACGGTTTGAACCCTTTTTTCTTTCGCTATCATGTAGGGCGCGGCGGTTCTTTGACATACGGGTTGCTTGGACACCCTGGTCATAGACCCAGGTTATGCTGAAAATCAACAGGGCCCAGCACGAATTCTGGGACCAGCAAGTGGTCCACCACGAGGGGGAGAAGACCATCGAGAAGGGTGGTTTCATCCTGCAGTGCGGGGTAGACATCCGGGATCTCATCGAAGACCCCCAGTGAGTCGACCATGTCAAGCGGCTTCATGCAACTGATGGACAGCGATTCCGACCAGCCCCAAGCCGACCAGCCCCGGCGACCCCGACAAGGCCCAGCCGTGCGTGACATTGCCCGGCCTCGCAAAAAGAACGGGAAAAACAGGCTGGCTGCAGGCTGCGGGCTGCGGGCTTCCTCAAACGATTGCAGCGACGCGAGAGTTTGTCTGCATTTGGCAGGGTACCCCGGCCTTCGCTGGCCAGCTGGTCGGGAGACCAGGCTGGAAATGAACTGACAGCATATGGCCATATGGCTGGCAGTGTCACTTGATACTCACATCAAGCAAAACAACAAAGCACAGGTGCATTGCCTGCTCCACTTGCCGCATGTGGCGCCGCGGCAGACGTTTCAGCCCAAGGGCTGCGCCTTCGGGCGCGACGAGCCATGGACCAACAGGTCATCCTGAAGACACTCGGTTCTCTGGATGCGCCTTGACGCAATGGATAGGCACTTTGCGTCACCCTAGTTCCATGCCAGTGATGCCAGCGTCCTGTCCTTGAAGAAATTCGGCCCTAGCTGTATGACTCTATGGCACTTGACACTTACTGTATTTCGAGCATGCCAGTCAGCGATGTCAGGACAGCATTCTGGCAACTGTCTTGGCTACACTGGTGCAGAGCAAGCCTGAACTGGCCCCGGGCCTTGTGAACGCCGCTTGTATGTGCGATTGTGCAAACCTTTTGGCTTGCGGCATGTGGGCAGGGATGCATGGGGCTGACGTGAGGTATGCGTTCCGGACCTGACCTTTGCACCCAGCAAGGGCTTGACCGAGAAGCGCTGCGTTGGGACTGTGAGGACGAGACTAAACCCTGCAGACTGCTCAGAGTGCCTTTGTTGCTTAGAGCGAGCATGTTGTGGAGAGGGGAGTGGAGAGAAGCGCTCAGCTGAGGGTATGGGCGTGGGCCTGATCAATTGCCCAGACCTGAGTAGCGCCCCTTGTCTAAAAAGCACCGCTTTTCTCCAGGGGCGCATCTGCACCAAAGTTGCGTGGAGCACCATGACCCTCAGTTGCTTGTAAGCTTCCCCCTGTGTTTGCGGGCCTGGTGACGGCGTTGACATGGTTTCACACCATTTTCAAACCAAAGCTTGGCCGCAGTTCATCCAAGTTTGCTGCCACCCAACCCGCAATGAATGAGACTCTACCAGCGTTACGTCTCAGGCCAACATTGACCACCGCAAACGAGCGGATGTGTTTGTGGTTTCTTGCGTTTGTCAAGGCAAGCCTTCCTGAAACAGCAAGTTTCCTGCGACTAGTTGCCACGCTCACCAACACAACTTAACACAACGACACCTGGTAGATTCATCGGCAGGTTGATGTAAGGCTTTAGCCTTTAGCTATTATTCTGTGGAATGTCAAGAAGCACACTTTGTGGGATTCGCTTGAAAGGTATTAACTTTCATTTTATGGGTTAATCTTTACAGGAGCTTGTAGTGCAAATTGTTGATGCCTGGCCCGGACAAGACTGCTACCCAGCTTCCCTTGATCTTGCCGGAAGCTAGCAAACACCAGGACTACAGACCACTCCTTTGTCCTTTCTTACCCCGAAATCGCCTGCAGGTTTTTGGCTGCGATGTGGTGGTCAAGCCCACGCAAGTCGCTGGCTTTGTTGAAGGCCCAGCACTCACTTGCCCAAGTCCAGCCCATGTTTTCGGAACAGATTTGGGCGAGACTTGCTTGCATGCGCAAGGGTGGCTTTCTAAGGTCAAGAGGTCAACTTCGCCGTTACCTTGAATGAAGAGAACAAGCCACAGGCGTTTGACCTGATAGACAACAACACCGGCATGAATGGAATGGCTAGCATGGGTGGCTGTGCCATGGGCGGCTGCGGAATGCCCAGCATGGGGGATGGGATGGGTTCAGGCATGGGATGTGGCATGGGAGGAGGTTGCTGCGGGTGTGGCGGCTGCGGTGGAGGCTGCGGCTGTGGTGGCGGCTGTGGCTGCGGCTGCGGTGGTTGCGGTGGCTGTGGCTGTGGGCCTGGTTGCGGGGGCTGCGGCCCTGGTTGTGGCTGCGGTCCTGGCTGTGGCTGCGGCGGTTGCGGCTGCGATGGCAACATGGGAGGCCTGGGCATGACGGGGCATGGCATGTGTTGGCATGAGGTTTCAAATCGCATGAGTGAGATGAGCCGAGGGTTCACAGTCTGGCAGGCATGATGCCGCCGCCACATGGAAAGGGCGGGAAGGCGAACGAGGAGGTTCTTGGAGAGTTTTATGGCATCATCAAGAGCTACAACCCAGAGAAAGGCTGGAAATGTCGCCTCGAGATGTGCGTTGGACACGGGGTGTTTACGGAGTTTGAGCTTTGAAACGGCGACATTCGCTGCGGAGGCTTCGGATTTGTAGCTTGCGATGCTCTCAAGCACCAGCATGAGGGCGACGTGTACCTGAACAGCAGGCCATCGGCTTTGAAGCAAGCTTGATTTGATTTGAGCCTTGTCGTGCCAGGCACATTGGGGACTTCAAGGTTGGACAGGAGGTCAAGTTTCAGGCCTTCTTGCACAACGGCCGATTACAAGGCCATCTTCGAATATTCCCAGAATCTGAGTGGTTCAGCCGTATCCAAAAGCACAGCTTTTCTTCAGCTCAAATGCTTCTTTTCCATTGCGCCGCATGCCATCAATATCCACCGCACTGGGCGACTGGCCGCAGGCAGAGAATTGCAGGTGGCTTGGCTGAAGCCGATGGGATCCGGGCGGCGCGTCGTGGGCATGCGAGCTGAGGATGCCACAGGCCTGGTGGGCCCTCAGTCTGGCGCTGCCCCGGGCTTCGCCGATGAGCAGGTGCTCGGTGCGCACATAGCCGGACCTGTTAGGCCTGAAGGATTTGGCATTGTGGATGCCTTGGTAGGTGGTGTCCGGCATGGCAGTTCTGGGTGGCCATGCCAAAGGTGCTGTTTCCCGTTGCGGTTTCCATGTTCCACCAAGAACTTTTAGCCGTGCCGCGCCCGTGCTCAGGAACTTGGAGTCTTTGCAGGGAAGATCAAAACATTCCATCAGGAGGGGGCCTTTGAATGCCCCTTGTGCTATGTAATCCCGGCAGAATGTCCTTTGCTAGCGCGTTCAGGACAAAGGTTTTGGCTTCATTGTTTGCGAAGCGCTCACTATGCAGGGCTTCCAGGGAGACGCGCCTGAGCTGAATCTGTGGCCCACATTTAGTCACCAGCATGCCACGTGTGGAGGCTCTGGCATGGGCTCGGAAGTGCATTTTGAGGTGTTCCTCCACCAGAAGTTCAAAGGGGAGTTCAAGGAAGGTGACAACATCGCCTTCATGGCGGTGCTCCGCAATGGCAAGCTGCAGGCAAAGGACCTGGAGCCAGCCCCCAGCGACGCTGGCACCGGCATGGGTGGCATGGGCATGGGAATGCCTGGGCCCATGGGCGGCATGGGTGGCATGGGTGGCATGGGCGGACCCATGGGCGGTGGACCCATGGGCGGTGGACCCATGGGCGGTGGACCCATGGGGGGCGGACCCATGGGCGGTGGACCTATGGGCGGACCCATGGGCGGCATGGGTGGGCCAATGGGCCCGATGGGTGGGGGGCTGGGCATGGGGATGACCCCTGGCTGCATGGGCGGCAAGGGCGGCTGCAAAGGCGACCCGGCTGCAAATAAGCGAGACTGAGTTGAAACACTCACAACGGAAGGGCGGAGCACAACATCTACTTGAGTGCCACTGCATTGGCCAAACCATGAATCATGTTTATTGAGTCTCGTTAGATGTGTGCAGAAGCTTAACGCATGCCGTGCAGCAGGAAACAGGATCGTAGGGTTTCAATGAGGTTGACAAAGGATCCTTGTGACATGCAAAGCTGCAGGTCGGCCTGGGCCATACTGAGTTCACAAGCAGCCCCTTTCCACGTCCGTTGGCGCGTTGCGGCTTTTCATATTGCAGGCATCGACTTTGCGGCCTCCCTTCTATTTTTTTAAAAGTCTTGTTGGATCCTACCTGAGGGTGCTTTCCCAGTTGTTTTTTTGCTGCTGACGTTGAACCTGCAGCCCTGTGCGGCTTGCCCGGCGCAGCCAGTGGAGAGCAATGTTCGAGGTTTTGGTTTCACTCGTTATGAAGCTAATCCCAACTCAGCACCCAGCGTGTCGATCACACGAGGGGCTGACAAAGCGAGAACTAAGCAAGCGCAAAAGCAAAACGGTGGCGCGAAACGAGGGCCTCAGCACTTCGATTGAAGGCAGCAGCGCCCGAGTTGACATTTCACTGCAGGTGTTGTAAATCAGAGTTTGCATGCTGTGTCAGGCTGAAGCCACTGAGCGAGGGAGCGTGACTAGCTCGTTGCGTGTTGGGCTTCAAACACGCGTGACATGCTGCTGTCCCCCTTTTGATGTAATAGGTGGCGTGCTATATGAGTGGTGCGCTTGGAGTTGCGGTCCTGAAAAGTTGTACCCAGCTTATGGCCCTGGCTGGCGCACAGACTTTCTGTGCCTCACTTTGCTCATGCACCCTGGCACCATGCATTCGAACCAGCGTTAATTGCATCATTTGCCGGATTGACTTGGTTTGACAGCATGCGGTTGTGATGGGCACATGGCTGCACAGGATGCAAGTGGTCAACAGTTCCTAGCAGCTTTTTTGTGAGCATGATGACTTACAAGCTGGCTTCAGCTTTCAATTTTCTAGGGAAAAAGGCGCAGCTGGTCCAAAACGCTGTCCAAGAATTGGCCTTTGGCTGAGTCTGCGCGAAGCAGCAGCCTTGCAGACATGTCGGGTGTGCTTTTCTTTGGCTTCCGACTGCGTATGACCAGTGTGGCGAGCACGGCGAGCTTGGTTTGGCCAGAGCCTGCTAGACAGCAGTCATCATCCTCCTGTTGCTTCATGCAGCTGTGCAGTGGCAACTTGAAAAGCACCCCTATTTTGCAAAATTATACCGCCCTATGGTGCATCAGTGCTCGGTGGCCTCAACTACAATGGCCTCATGAGGTATATGGTGAGCCGTCGGGTGGGCAAGCTGGTGCTGTGATGCAAGGCTCGCTTCTGCCCACTCTTTGCTCTTCTCTCCGCACTTCTGCTGCTCTTCTTCCTCGCTCCGCTCTTCTCTCTGGCTCCGGTCTCTCCGCTCTTCTGCTCAATCTTCGCTCTGCCGCTCTTTTGTCTGCTCTTCTCTCCGTCTTCTGCCAACTCTTCGCTGCGCTCTTCTCTTCGCAATCTTTGCTCCGCTCTTCCTCCCAACTCTTTGCTCAGCTCTTCTCTCCATGCCTCTGCCCACTTCACACGCCCTTCGCTCCGCCCCTCGCTCCGTTCTTTCCTCCATTCTGTCCCCCGCGCTTGAAACTGAAGCGTTCCGATTGCACTTTGCCGCAGGTTTTAAACATTGTTCCTTAACATCGGTTTTCGCGCAGAGGATGCAGGGCTTTTCGAGCGCTTTGGGTTCTTCTCGTGAACTTACTCCACTGTCAAGCCCTCGATGTGAGCTGGCATCGCTCTTTCGCGGACGGTCTTTTGCCTCCCCTGGGCTCCAGGATTGTTGGCCTTCCCATGTGATCGACTTGACCACAGCTGATAAGACCAAGCAAGCAGCAGTACTTGCTTCAAGCAATGCGCAGGCAACCAGGGTGCTTCCATGACGTTCACCAAACGAACCATGTCATACCATATAGCCAGAGGAGACCGGTGCTTGCCAAGCCTGCCTCTGGGGCCTCTGCCATAATATGACTTCCAACGCAGAATATTTGATGAGTTTCCGAAGAATCACCCTCTGATCGAACATTCTGTGGGCGACAGGGCGCCGCTATGCACGGGTGTGGACTGGCCTTCTCGCGGACATTCTAGTCGCACGCGCCAGCCACAGCATCTGTGTCAGGTAGGTCGAGAACGTGCGAGAAATGCACCGACATGTTGGGTCGCGGTTCAGAGAGGCGCCCCAATGTCCAGTAAATTCCTTGTCATTCGATGCCCAATGCCGCATTCTTGGGCTCAGAAAGAGCGCATGCTTGTTTTTGGAATGTGCTAGCATTGCAGCCTTGCAAGAAGGTGACAGCATTTGCGTGCATTTCAAGCATATATCAGCAACCTACAGCAGAAGCAGCCTACAACCGCAATGCTCCTGGAAATGACGCGGCACAACTTTTGAGACGTTCACCCTGCTAGCTTTTGCAACAGCTCTCATCCCAGTCTTGTCAAGTGCGGAGTTGAGATGGCGTGGATCCTCAGGCAGCTCAACTGCATTGAATGCATGCTAATGACAACTGTCATTAGTAGGGTGTGTCCAATTTTAAAGGGATCCACATTTTGAGGCACTCCCGACTAGTCAGACAGGGTTGACAAAGAGCCTTCAGCCTTGCACGATTTGTGTTTACCTTGCTTTTCTACAAAAACCTTGATTCACCTTTTCTCGCACCTTGGACATGCGGAGTCCTTGTTTCGAACCTTTGCCGAGCTTGAGTTCAAGCTTGGCGAGCAATCAAGCGAGCGGACAAGAAAGCAAGCGAGCGGACAAGCAAGCAAGCACGTAAGCAAGCAAACAAGCAAACAAACAAACAAACAAGCAAACAAACAAGCAAACAAAACCTACACACACACACACAAAAGCGCACATGCGCACAAATTTGAGCTTCTGACCAAGTCATTTGCTTGGATCATTTGTGGGGATCTCGCTTTTTGGTGGGATCATTTGGCTTTGGTTTTGGTTGTGGGGATGCGTGCATGCGTGCAGGCAGGCTGGCGGGCTGCTGGTTGCGGGCGCGTGCGTGGGTTGAGCGTGCAGGGCGATGCCGGATGAGGCCAAATGAGGTGAGTGTGGAGGCGAGACAAGGCGAGGTGAATTCAGGTAAGGGATTGAGATGAGGTAAGCGAGTCAGAACGAGAGAGTGAGAACGAGTGGCTGAGTCAAGGTCTGAGTGACTGCCGGACTGACTGACGGAGGGAGTGAGTGCGTGAGTGAGTGAGTGAGTGAGTGAGTGCGTGAGGGAGTGCGTGAGGGAGTGCGTGAGGGAGTGCGTGAGTGAGTGAGGGAGTGCGTGAGGGAGGGAGGGAGTGAGGGAGTGCGTGAGGGAGTGCGTGAGTGAGTGAGTGAGTGCGTGCGTGCGTGAGTGAGTGTGTGAGTGAGTGAGTGAGTGAGTGAGTGAGTGAGTGAGTGCGTGCGTGCGTGCGTGCGTGAGTGCGTGAGTGTGAGTGAGTGAGTGAGTGAGTGAGTGAGTGAGTGAGTGAGTGAGTGAGTGAGTGCGTGCGTGCGTGCGTGCGTGCGTGCGTGCGTGCGTGCGTGCGTGCGTGAGTACGTGAGTGCGTGAGTGAGGGAGCGAGTGAGTGAGTGAGTGAGTGAGGGAGGGAGTGCGTGAGTGATTGAGTGGCTGAGTGAGTGAGGGAGTGCGTGAGGGAGTGCGTGAGTGAGTGAGTGAGTGAGTGAGGGAGGGAGGGAGGGAGGCAGGGAGGGAGTGCATGAGTGGGTGAGTGAGTGAGTGAGTGAGTGAGTGAGTGAGGAGAGTGAGTGAGTGAGTGAGTGAGTGAGTGAGTGAGTGAGTGAGTGAGGAGTGAGTGAGTGAGTGAGTGAGTGAGTGAGTGAGTGAGTGAGTGAGTGAGTGAGTGAGTGAGTGAGTGTGAGTGAGTGAGTGAGTGAGTGAGTGAGTGAGTGAGTGAGTGAGTGAGTGAGTGAGTGAGTGAGTGCGTGAGTGAGTGAGTGAGTGAGTGAGTGAGTGAGTGAGTGAGTGAGTGAGTGAGTGAGTGAGTGAGTGAGTGAGTGAGTGAGTGAGAGAGTGAGAGTGAGTGAGTGAGTGAGTGAGTGAGTGAGTGAGTGAGTGAGTGAGTGAGTGAGTGAGTGAGTGAGTGAGTGAGTGAGTGAGTGAGTGAGTGAGTGAGTGAGTTGAGAGTGAGTGAGTGAGTGAGTGAGTGAGTGAGTGAGTGAGTGAGTGAGTGAGTGAGTGAGTGAGTGAGTGAGTGAGTGAGTGAGTGAGTGAGTGAGTGAGTGAGTGAGTGAGTGAGTGAGTGAGTGAGTGAGTGAGTGAGTGAGTGAGTGAGTGAGTGAGTGAGTGAGTGAGTGAGTGAGTGAGTGAGTGAGTGAGTGAGTGAGTGAGGGAGGGAGTGGAGGGAGGGAGGGTGAGGGAGTGAGAGTGAGTGAGTGAGTGAGTGAGTGAGTGAGTGAGTGAGTGAGTGAGTGAGTGAGTGACTCACTGAGTGAGTGAGTGACTGAGTGACTGAGTGACTGAGTGACTGAGTGACTGAGTGACTGAGTGACTGAGTGACTGAGTGACTGAGTGACTGAGTGAGTGAGTGAGTGAGTGAGTGAGTGAGTGAGTGAGTGAGTGAGTGAGTGAGTGAGTGAGTGAGTCATGTTACAGTGCAACGTGGAAAGGTGTGAGACAAGTTGAGAAGAGAACACCCACGACTAAAAGTTCTGTTGCTGGACCCGTTGGTGAATTTGCAAGCTGCTAGCTGGCAACGTTGACACCGGTTGTAGCAGTGCAAACAAAAAGCCAGCTGAGGTGGACGATTCTTTTGACTCATCAGCTGTGCGTCCTTGCGCAGTCAAGCTTTTCGGGTGTGTGGCATTTGGTGGATGTGTACTCCGTGGTGTGCCCCGGATTTCCAGGCGGCCAAGGCATGTTTGTTGAGCCTGCAGCGTCCCACTCTACAGATTGTCTCAGTGAAGCATGATTGCTTTCAGAGAATGCCTGGGCGTCGTGCCAGGCTACACCATCGTCAACATGTCTCAGCCTGCAGACAAGCTGCACAGCCCTCACATCTTCACAATTTTCCGAACAACCAACGAAGCCGTGAAAATAGCCTTCACGGCTACAGACTCCAACGGCAAGGAGGTAGCTTCTGAAAGCGCAGATCTGAAAAAGGTCGCTCGCCGACTTGCGCTTGAGATGAAAGGGCGCCAACTCAGTGCGCGACGACGCGGTGGAGGCGGCAGCTATAGCTCTCCCCGCCGGCGCGCCCCAACAAGCTACAGTTCCCCACGTCGCCGTGCCCCCAGCCCTGCTCCCAGCCCCAGCTACAGCTCTCCCCGCCGTCGTGCGCCAGCGCCAGCTTCAGGCACTACGACGGCACGGCGTCGCGGCTACACAGAGCCTCCCAGCCAACGTCGGCGCACCGCAGGGTATGACAACAAGTACTACACCAACCCGTCCAATCCTGCAGCAGGCAACTACGGCTACACCAGTGCGAGCACTGCTTCCAGTAACTTTGGAGGAAGGCCGCCCACCAGCACTCCGTACGGGTACACAGGCGCCAACGCGTACTCGGGCTCCAGCGGCAGTGCTGGGAAGATTGCCCTGGCAGCAGGAGGGGGCCTTTTGGCCGGGTATGCGGCGTCCCAGCTCTTCAGCCATACCTGGACAGGATATAATCGAGAGCAGCTGTTGGGCCTCCCCTGCACCTCTGGGTCCTGGACGGGCACTTGCGATGCCTGTGTGAAACTGCATGGCGAAAAGAACTGCGCCGCCCAAATCTCGCCCAAGATCGATGCCACCCGCGATGATCTGCTGAACACTGGCTTCATCCCTGCTGACTTTACTTGGCCGATCCATGTCAAGATCACGGAGGTTTCCGGAACAGACTTTGGCCCACAGATATGCCCACCTACCACACCAGGAACGGAATGGAATCCACCATCAATGAAGCAGTTATTTCTCACCCTGACGACGCTTGAGGAGCTATCAGCATCAGCTCCTGCACAGCCCACCGTAAGGCCCTTAGTCTAAGTGGTACTTGTTCATGTTTGCCACACGCGTGACATTGCACAGTGACTTACAGCTTACAGCCAAGGCAAGCCCTGGCATGAGCTGGTGGCCGATCTTGAGTGTCTCTTGTCATGCAATTTGGTCCCTGCGCATATCTCATTTTTGGAGGGTTGGCATGTTTGGAGGCTATTCTCGTGCTTGTGTGCTGCTGCTGCTGCCTCGCGGCGGCTTGGTCCTTCAAATCCAAGCAGCAAGACTACGGCACCTCCTCCGAGTCGGACTATTCTTCGGAGTCGGATCACGGAGCTTATGGAGCCTCATACGGCTATGGTCAGCCTGGGGGATATGGAGCCCAGGTGCAGCCACAACCGCAGGGCTACAACCCCTACTGGCAAGGCGAGGCATGAGCGAGAGCTAGCAGGCAGTGCAAGCTGTGATTGGAACTCTGTTGGTTGCGAATGACTAGGGCCTCTGAAACTGGTAAAGCGGATTGTTGTCAAAGACATAAGTTGCCGCTCGAATGCATGAATGCATGCGCCATGAATCCTTGTTCAACACATGGGGGCGATCAGAGACATGAATTTGGATGAGGCCCTCACTATAACTCAGTCATAAATTCTTGCATGCCTTTCTTAAGCAGCCATGAAGAATTCGGATTCCTCCAGCCAACACATTGATTCAGGTCCAAGCAAACAGCAAATGTGGTGAATGGTGCGTTTCAGGACATTTTCAGGCAGCAGAGCATCAAGCAGATATTAGATGTGGTCATGCTAGGGCTACACCTGCCAAGCTACACAAGAAATGGCGCTCGCCAAATATCTATTCTGTTAATCAACTGGCGTTGAAGGGGTTGTTCATTAACAGATTTCAGTTTGTAGCTGTTGGGCCCTTGTTAGGTAGCATTTGGTAGGTTGCCAACCCCATGTGGACACTTGTTGGTTGTTAGCCAGATGTTGGCTGCTGATGGTGTGCGGTTGGATGCTGTGCTCAATTCTTTAACTCGTGAGATGCTTGGGATCTCACCGACCCAAAAACAAGAAGATGATCACTTTTTGGGCCCCCCACAGCTCAGATCCGGTCGATTCACTTTGGTTGCAAATGAGAATGCAGGAAATGCAACATCCTTCCCCGAAAAAGGAAACAATTGAGCACCACTGGAGGTCTGAAAAAAGAAAGAAAGAACAGGTTTGATTGATGATGCAACATGTCAGGAACTGGGCTGTCAGTTTTCTGATCCCCTGCTCTGAGGCGGGCCAGCACAAGGTGGAGCAATGCAAGGCGGCGTTGTTCAAGGCGGCGTTGTTCAAGGGAGTGTCGTTGGAGGAGGTATGGTGGCGGGTGCGGGTATGGCGGGTGCATATGGCATGGCTGGCAGCCCCCACGGTGCAGCTATGGCACCCTATGGCATGGGCAGCCCAAGCCAAAGAGGCGGCGGCTTTATGACGACCGCTGCCCCCAACGGCGCGAGCTGGGCTGACTACTGCCGACCGCACGGTGTTGCCATGAACGGCGGCATGGTTGCCGGGCCCTGGGGCGAGTGCTTGGCTTGGGCGGTGGCCTATGAGCACCAGCACCCTGGATGGGAGCACGATCCCAGGCGCGCATTCAGCCCGCTCGCTTGAGCATCCGCATGTTGCGCCGTACGCTTGGCAGGTTCCAAGAAGGACCTGCTGCCCAAGTCATCCAGGCCATGACAGAGAGGGCATCAGATTCACAGATTCCAGAGGTCCTCCAAGCATGTGAGAGCTTCAGCTGCACGTTCATATTGTATGTCCGGTTGCTTTGGACCAGGGTCCTTAGACGTCCCAACACTTCATGGGCGCGACCAGTCAGTCTGATGCATAGACAAGTGCTTAGGACGCTTGAAGAAGCCTGCCGCCAAGCAATCCAACGTGGACAGCCACTGCCTATCATTAATCAGCGGATCTGAGCTGTTGCTGGTTGTTTGTGCATGAGCCATGCACTTTGTGAAGATCCTTGCGCAGCCGCGCTGTTCTCAGATTTGTCCAGATGTACAGGGCTGGCATTGGATGGGTTTGGACAGAGACTTTTGCCACGTGGATCTTGAACCGCGAAAGCTTGTTATTTGTGGCATTTGTGGCGTGGCAGGCGGCACGCCACAGCCAATGGATTCAATGGACGCAGAAAAATGGACGCAAAAGCGCAATTGGGCTGACATGTTGTCTCTTGACCAGTAAGTCTCCACTGCATGCAGATTTGATGCTTTGCCCCTAATCCAATGTGCGCGCAGCTCAAGCAGCGCTGGCAGTGGACATTGTTCATAGTATTGGGCCGGCAGGATGCTGCTAGTCGGCCCAGCATTTGGGCACATGGCACGCCTATGTTACCTTGCTGTGATAGGACGGGCGCGTCAATCGGCACAGCAGTGTCAAACTAGATGCAAGGGAGCATGGATATTCACCCGGAGCCACAGCGTCTAGGGGGTGCGAATCTTTGCAATGTGCAGGAGTGACTTTAGCCCAAAGCCCTGGCGGTGTGTGGCACATAATTGATGCCCTGTCAGTCATTTGTCCGGGGAGTCCAGGCTGGGCTCACAGGTTGCCATGGGCTTGCTGGGCGTCTTGAGTTGGAATGTCATGTCCTGAATGAACCCGTCAGCTTGACTCGTTGCCTGAGTTGGGAGGATATGCTACCATCAGCCTTACCAAGCCGACAACCGCCGACTACGAACCGCACATTCTCACCATCTTCCGTACGGCAAAGAATCCTGTACAACTAAGCTTTGAGGTGAGAGATTCCTCAGGCAACATGGTTGCCGACCAGAAGCAGGGCCTGACCCTACAAGGTCACATGCGACGCCTCAGCCGGAAGCTGTATTCCATGAGGCGTCGCACTGGCTTCACCGCTTCCAGGAGGCGTGGCAGCCCGCTTGTTCCAATGAGCATCAACCCGATGTCCTGGTTCTCAGCACGCCGCCGCACTTCCGCCTTGCCCGCAGAGGCTCGCCGGAGGATGGTCGCCCCCACTGGCCTTGCTGCACGCCGGAGAGGCACCTACATGGGGAGCGCAGGGGGCATGAGCAGTATGTCGCGCCGCCGCTCATACACTTCTGGAAGCACTGGCTACTCCAACCCTTACAGCTCGTATATGGGCGCTTATGGCTACCCCAGCCCGAGCTACGCTTCCCAAAGTTTTGGCGGCCACATGCCCATGACAACGTCCTATGGCTACAGTGGAGCCAATGCTTATTCAGGAAACATGCCGATTGCGCTCGCTGCCGGGGCAGGTCTGTTGGCTGGTTATAGCGGCAGCCATCTCTTGCACCATCATAGCCACTGGGGCGGTTACAGCCGTGAGGACATGTACAAGATGCCTTGCACCTCAGGACGTGCTTGCCTGCCGCGCCCGCCTCCCGTCCAAGAGACTCGAGATGTAGATTGTTTGCACTGGTTTCGGTGTGCCATCCCCAGAGAGCAGCATTTTAGCACTTCTTTGCACAAATAATCGCACAAGCACGTTTCGCAAGGGTGCGGCAATGTCACCAAGAGTAAAGTAACACTTCATAAGCTATGCTCCTAGTGGCACTAACTTTGCCCCTGTCAGGATCTTGGTCTGGCTCATGCAGCACCTGCGTTGAATTATATGGCGCCACCTCGTGCAACGTGATGCTCTCGCCTCAATTTGACGCAGCCCGGGATGACCTCATGACTACTGGACTGGTTCCGGCCGAAATAGCATGGCCCCTCTTTGTCAATGTCACGCACTTGTCCGGGCCAGACTTTGATCCAGCAGCTATTTGTCCTCCGAAGTCGGCAGATGAGAGGGATGCGCCTTGTCAGGTCTGAGTGCTGAACTTTTGGAGTGTTCTCCTTGCCTGCATGGGGCAGTCCGAGGCATGGACCGCTCCGCCGATGAAACAGCTTTTCGTCACGCTGACGATGCTTCCGAGTCAGAGGTCCGGATTCGATGACTCCTACCAAAGTACCGCTCGCTTTGAACGGGCCCGCGCGGGATCATCGGACCCATGGATGCACGTGGAACAGCCTGGATGGGTTGATATGTTGGAAGCTTGCCTGTCCCTCATGGAATCCCAGGTTATGTTCAATTTAATGATTTTATGTTGCTGCCTCAGCGGCTGCTTTTGCTTGGACCGATGGCAAAAGGCCAACGGTTCTGGGCCATACGCAGCTGGGCGGCAAGCCACACGCAGCTTTTGCTTTGTGTAAACATGGGAAACCAACCTCGCGATTGCACAGGAGCACGTCGGTATGCATTCCGCCCCATTCCCCGGTGGTGTAAATCCTTACTGGCACCAGGTGGCGCGCCGCATATTTGTCTGCTTGATTTCAGTTTCATGGCATGGCAAGTCGATTGTTTCTTTCAGAGCCATGCTCAGTGCCAAATACAGTCCGAAAGCGGAGTGCTTGCAGTGGGTGCCAGGGGCACGGCGAGATGTATACTGGCCCTTTGCCGGGTGGTGCCCCAACTCCGCATGTGCACGGCGAGACGGACGGGTGACTTGCAGCAAACGGGCAGGGAGTGCCCAGACCCACAGCTTGATATTGCTGTTGTTCGATTTGGCACTCGCAGGAGCTCAGTGCAGGAGTACCTTTAGTGCAGGGCAAGGACTGCCTCGCAGTCTTGCAGACGGGAGCGTTTTGTTCGTGATTCTTTTGTGCTTGTGCTCTCAGGCTAGAATTGTTTTAGCAGCAGAAAATGTGGAGAGAGAGAGAGAGAGAAAGAGAGCTCCGCTTCTTCAAATTCATGGCCTCAAGATTTCACCTGGCAGGTGGTCGATGACTTTGGATCGCCAGATCCCAGGCCTGACTGGCGCGTGATGGATGGCTCGATGGCTTGCGGTCCGGTGCAGGTCGCGAGCGCCAGAAAGAGCCGATGCCTGGCAGCGCCACTTTCCGCCTTTGCGGCGCGGTTCGTATCTTTCGCATGCTGCACCCAAGGAGCAGGCTGATGCAGACAACGCAAATGCAAACGCAAGAAGCTCCACGAGTCCATCTTGATGTGGCGTGCACCGCAAAAAGCGATCGTTGGCCATTGACATCAGCATCAGCATAGATCGATGCTTAGAGCGTGCATGCAAGGCGAATGACCTTGGGCTGAAGCAAATCACGATTACGTGGCCAATGACATTGGATCACTCAGTGCCTGGTGCCACCGGCAGTAGCCGAGAACGGCCAAAGAGCCGCCAGCACAGGTGCAGCTGGCAACAAGAAGCCAAGTGTATGCTATCTCGACAAATGCGGTCCACTTCTGTGTGTCAAGCTCAACTGACTTACCACAGAATAGAACGGCACCTAACTTGTTCAAACAAATGATCGCCTGCGGTGGTAGGGAGCATGTGGATGCATTGGGACGCATGATCTGTTCATCCTGGCTCAATATTTCGCAAAACCAGGGCCATGGCCAATGGCCCAAAGCCAAGTTGCCATATTTGGCTTCAGGGAGAGAAAGTCAACCATGTAGAAGAAGAGTCATTCTTGAGATTTGGGCATCAGCTGCCATGATCACTCGATGGTTATTCGTATTTGCTGTTAGCTACTCTGATGCAATTTGCCGGAGTCAGCTTTCCAGTTTCTTGTCACTGTGATGCTTCATGTGCTGCTTTTCCAGCCCCGCTAGTTGCTTGACTCAATCTCCAGGAGTATGCTGCGCCCAAAGTCCAGGCTTCTCGGGTGTTTGGCACTATGTGGATGCACGCGCCGTGGTTTGTCCAGGGGGCCCAGGTGCTTTGGCATGTGAAGCACACACACGTCGTGTTGAAGGTGCCGCGTGCAGTTTCCCTTCCGTGCCCTGCCAGGTAGGTTCTCAATACCCATGGAGAAGCCAACAGGTTTTGACAACTTGCCGCACATTTTCACCGTCTTCCGCACCACAAACGGTGCTGTGAGCCTTGGCTTTGTGGCTAGGGATGCCGCAGGCAGGATGGTCACTGACCAATCGGGTGGCTTAAATCTACAGCCACAAGGCTACAGAAGGCTTCAAGGTTCCGATGCAAGCGCGGAGGCGGGGGAGGTGGGTGTTCGGAAGCTGTTGTTCTCGCCCCGCCGGCGTTACTCATCGCCACGCCGCCGATACACTGATTCACGACGCCGGGCCCCGACCACCTCATCGCCGCGCCGGCGCATGACGGATGAGAGGCGACGATACATGTCCTCCCCGAGGCGCCGCTACATGGACTCAGCCCCCAGGCGGCGCTACATGGACTCAGCCCCCAGGCGGCGCTACTACGATCCGTCCCCCCGGCGGCGAGCTGCCACAATGGAAACGCCCCGGCGGCGGGCATATTCATCTGGCCGACGCCGCAGGAGCAGCTTCAGCACCTATACCAACCCATACAGCCCCAGCATCGGGCAGTACGGCTATAGCCCAGCATATGCGACCCATAATTATGGCGGCCACATGCCTATGACCACGCCATACGGCTACTCAGGAGCGAACGCCTATCAAGGCAGCAGTGGCAGTGCCATGAAGATTGCCCTGGCCGGCGGTGCTGGCCTGCTTGCTGGTTATGCTGCAAGTCACTTTATGAATGGTGGTGGTTCAAACCAGTACCAGTGGGGTGGTTATGATCAGCAGCAGTTGCTCAACGCACCGTGCACTTCAGGCGGGCATTTCCAAGCTGCTTGCACTTTGTAGTGTTACTCGCACAAACTGTTTGGACTTGGCACCAATTGTGGGCATGTGCTTCGCATTGCCCTGATCGTGTTGCAGGCTCTTGGTCGGGGATGTGCAACAACTGCGTGTCCCAGTTTGGGCCCAGCAGCTGTGTTGCTTCGCTCACGCCAAAGTTCGACGCCACCCGGGATGACCTTATGTCAACTGGCTTCATTCCTGCCCAGGTAGCATGGCCATTGCAGGTGGAGGTGACGCAAATCTATGGCCAGGACTTCAACCCTGCGCTGATCTGCCAACCTCCACCACCTGGCGTGGACGCCAGTCCGCAGAGCTTTCAACTTGAACAGGAGACGTGGGTTCAGCGATTTTCGAGCATCCAAGGCACCACCTCCAATGAAGCAGCTGTTCCTCACCCTGACAGCGCTGCCACCCCCTGGCGCTGGCCCTGGCACACCACCAAACGGTTACCAAAATGGCCCTGGCTACGCCCCCCCCGGCCCTGGCTACGCGCCCCCTGGCTACCAAAATTATGGAGAGCCAAGTTCCGGAGGAGTTGCTGGTGCTTTTGTGGCTTGGCACAGCCAGTGGCATTTGTCCCCTCTTGAAAGGCTTGGCTTTGAATGCATTTCGGCTTGCCCATGACAGAGGGGCTTGCATTCTGAGGCATCTGCCATGTCAAGCTTGGTGGCCTGCTGTTGCTGCTGCGGTCTTTGCGCCTTCTGCTTTTTTCAGTCGAAGAAGAAGCCGAGCTATGGCAACCCCTCCGATTCCTCCGCCCCTCTGATCATCGTTGTGCAGATTTTATGTTGACAGCAGAGTGCTCGCAGTCGTGCCACGCTTGCTTTTGTTGTGCTGAGCCCACGGTTCCCAATGGAGATGTTCCCATGATGCATGTAACCCTGACCCACGCCATCATTTTGAGATACCAAACTGACACTACAGATAGCTAGGTCGGTTCAACTGCTGAGCAGTAAGGATCACGGCAGGGAATCTGCAGTTTTTTTGGCAGCGTCGTGCTGAGCCAAGGATGATGAGGGGATGGAGCTCGCGCATCATTCACCAAACCCGTATTGGGATGCTGGGACCCACGTCCCTTGTCTCATTCAGCATTCTGGAAAGAAATGCGTGGCATGCAAACCGAGAAACCGAGGCGCAGGGCGGTGGCCGAGGCTTCATGGGCACATTGGCCCCCAACGGCAAGGCTTGGTCAGAGTATTGCGTTGGCCAGCCAGAGCTCGGGACGGGCATGGTGCTGGGCCCGTGGGGCGAATGCTTGGCCTGGGCTGTGGCCTATGAGCATCGATCACCCGAGTGGCACAAAGATCCGCAGTATCGGTGCCTGAGCTCGCACTCCGCGCGCGCTGCAGTGATTGTGCCCAGGGTGTCCCTACAAACAAACATATCCTGAAACCGTGCGCATTGCAAGGGAGATGGGCCCGGTGGGCTCCGTAATCCAAGCCATGATGGAGAAGGCCTCGGACCAGATGGCTCCAAAGGTGCAAGCAGCCGCAGAGGAACTGGAGGTCTATTGCGCCTTGCCCAAGGGCGGGTTCGTTTGGGGGGCTTGATGCGGGTTTTGGAAGCTGAACTGGTGCATTGCAGGCAGAGAGGCAGCAGAGCAAGGCAGGCCCCTGCCGGTCATCAACCAGGAGGTGTGACACCAGGACGCAGCTGCGACGTATGCGGCGCCTCTTTGGTGCAGCAGTGCAAGAGTTTGTTGCCACAGTTGGCACATCTGCTGCCTCGCAAACAGATGTAAAGGGTTGTGGAGGCCGCCTAAATCTGAAAGGTCGCACATGTGACAGGAACCTGCCTGTTCCAGGGGCCAGAGGTTCCTGAACCCTGTCTACTCGCTTCAACTGGCAGCAGCTATGATTGAAGCTTGCGGCATGATGCTCTCAAAGTCGCTGAGCCAACTCACACTTCAAAATTGTTTTCATGCGTCTGCGTCAAAGCACGCGGCTCGACTCGCTTGAGCAAAAGCAACATGGGATATATCAGCAGGCAAAGGTAAGCAATGGCGTGTTTGCGTGTTCCACCTTGCGGTGATAGCCGCATGTTGCACATTGCTTGTTGCGTGTCAAAACTCCAAGGTCCAATGGGACAGCACGCATTTTAACCTGTGGCCCAAGTTCCAGAACATGCTAGACGCAATGGACGGTGTCGACTCAGAGTCTGAAGGGGAAGATGAGAGAGTGCCACTTGTGTACATCGACTTTGACGGCTTCCCCGACGTAGAACACTTGCTGATGTCTTTGTCGGCCATTCACGAAGCGGAACGCGGGGTGCAGGATTCCTTGCGCTCAGCTCGGACGCGGAGTCCTGTGGCCCCTCGACAGATGTTGACTCACGCAGACATTCATCAGATGTATGCGGTACATGGCGCGGAGCACTTTGCCGAAATGGTGAACCTTGTTCTGAAGTTGTCGCTTGCTATGATGACCTTTGGCCAAACAGCGGCGGACACAGAAGATATCATTCTGAGTGTTTCTTCATCAATCGGTTTGCCCGTGATCCACTTTCAGGTTGGACTCAATAGCCTTGATGCTTCCTTTCATGGTGGCATTGTGCACAAGCTTGGCTTCTCACGAGGGCTTGATGCTGACAAGTTGGCGGCTACGATCAGCCTGGCAAGCCTCATTGCCAACAAGGTTGGGAACGTGCAGGGCGCAGTCGACCTGCTGGACGAGATCTTTTCCCACCGCGCGCCTTACGGTGTGGTAATCCAAAAGGCCTCCTTCTACGGCCTGTCCGTCCTGGCTGCATTGGCCGCTTTCATGGGCACTTCTGAAGATGTGCTGGCCGTAGCTATCATCATGCCTGCCGTCATGTTGGTGCAGTCCTGCTGTCGCAGGTTTTGCAGTGAATTAGAAGCTTTTGCCGTGGCTTTGGCGGTTGGTGGCCTCACTCCGGCCGTCGCACGTCTTCTCCACCTGCCACTCTGCGATGTGCCCGTTATCTATTTGTCGCCGCTGCTTACCTACCTGCCAGGGTCGCAGCTCACATATGGAGCCTACGAGATCCAGTTTGGGTGTTTGCACAACGGGGTCAGCCAGCTTGGCTCGTGTGTGGTGCGCTGCATGTTTCTTTCTTTGGCACTTCTTCTTGGTTGGCAGTTCTTTGGCCATCGGTTCTACACGGGGCCAACAGCATCAGCTGCAGCGGCGTCTATGGTCCCTGTCAACATGTCATGTATGTTTCCATACTCTTGGGAGGTTGTTTTTCTTGCCTGGAATGTTCCGTTGCTCCTTGTGGCTCTAATTGGCCTCAACCTGCCTCTGAAAAAGATGTGGGCACCAATGCTCATTGCTTACGGAAGCCTGCTTGTTTACATCGTGCTGTTAAAGCATCCGGCGGTTGCTGGTGGAATTCCTGACCGCATCATTGACTGCATCGCCTTATTTATAGCGGCCAACATGGCCTGCCTGTATGAATACAAAACCGCAACTCCAGCAGTTCTCGCGATCCTCCCTGTTCTTTTGATCTTAGCGCCTGGTTCGAAGGTCGTGCTATCTGTGTTGGCTTCGATGCAGGGGGCAAAGTTGTCCGTTCAGATGGAACCGGTGCTGGACCTGATGCTACAAGGTGTTGCCTACGCTGCGGGCCTCACTCTTGCACTTCATTTCTGGAGACCCTTCCTACGGCGAAAGGCTAGGAAGCGCTGTCAGCAGCACATGTACTGACGTACCTCTGGGAGGACATGTTTTCTGGAACGGCATCCTGAACCTTGGGAAAAGGAAAGAGCGAACGCATTCGTCTCACATGTCAGACTGTCAGCATCAGCAGCATGTGGTTGTCACAAAGCGACCGCCACGTCAATTTGCATTGCTTGCAGTGACCAGGTACTAGGCTGGCAAAGGTTGGCAACAGTTGGTAAGAGCTAGATAAAGAGGACCTGGCAGTGTGCCATCCGTTTGGTCCACCAGCCGCAGACACGTAGAGCAGCACGAACGGCAGAACACTCCAGCACATTCAAGTCAGCATTGGTTGGCCGGCCGTTCGCAGTGCATGCTGCGCACTTTGCCATGGCCACATGGCAGCGCGGTCGCAGGGTGGCTTTGCCAGTTGCACAGTCGAGAGTCAGTCCAGCACGACCCTTCGGAGGTTCGCTCAGGAGGGCTTCACAGCCACACACTGCAGCAATCCTTGATGCCAGAGTCGATTCGCGAGCCAAAGTGCTGCCTGCGTAGATGTTTGAAACAGATGACAGATCCACATAGTCGCCAAGTGCAAAGTGCAACCCACCAAATGCAACACTTACCTGAACACTAACACAGCCAAACTCAAGCCAGCCAAGCAGCAAGCAGATTGTATCCCAACCGTCCCCCCCGAATAGGTAGCTGGCAGCCATGGCTGCTGGTGAAGTTTTGTGGCAGCCGTTCTGGCTTCCAGCCCTCCTTGCGGCTGCCTTGCTGTGGCCGCTCCGCCTGAGAAGGTTTCAAGAGGTTGGTACCTACAGAGTAGCCCCAACATTGCGCAAAGGTTGCCAACTCGTGCAAGGGACAGGACGAAAGGAATGAGACGAAGGAAGGCAAAGGAAGGCAACTGCCAGAAAAGGCTCAGCTGAGGCCGGCGGCTGCCTGGGACCGGCACGCCGCCGTGCGCGTCCAGCGCTGCTTTGCAGCGGGGAAGCTGATCGACCTCACGACGCTTGGGTTGCATGGGGCTCTTTGCCCCCCTGCCATGGCAAATGCACTTCCTGGGCAAGCCTTTGCGCCTGTATGTCTCTATTTGGTTGTCCTAGGAATGGCACGGCTGGACTTCCAGAATGTGTGGACCACTGTGAGCCCCCAGCGGAGAGGAGTGTCCAGGCAAGGGACGTGTTGTGATTTGGCGGTGTGAGATTGTTTATCGTTTGGTGTCTGGTGCCACTTGGCAAGATCTTGCCAGCAAAGTTCAGGCAGAAGGCGTTGGCTTCTGCATGCTTCCGGTAGTGCGGAAAGCAGCTTGGCGAAGAAGAAACGATCAGCAATTGGGCTTTCAGCCTTCGCAGCATTTGCTTTTTGGTGCTACGCATTCTTAGGAGGCATTCGATCTTTCCTTCACGCTGGAGCTGCGGAATGTCAGCTTCCGGTTGCTCCCCGCGGCCGAACCTTGCTTTAGTTTGCTGTGTTGAACACCGTTGGGACGCTGCATGGCGCTGCTTTGCCACCATGTGCATGTCGTTGTTTCTAGCAGATGTTGACTTCGCGGCGAGCGGCATGTTGGTTTGCCCAGGACGGCCTCAGGGCGAACGTCCCCATTGCTGTGGGTCAAGCGCTGCAGGTGCCGCCTTCCGATGTGCTGGGCGAGGTGCAGCTTGGCTGCAACGCCTCGTAAGTTCCATGTTGTCCACTGTGGGGCGTTCGCTGCTTGGGTGATCTAAGCGAGTCTCACGCTTTGGCTGAGGATGATTAGAGACTCGCGCTCGCAGCTGGGCTTACGCACCACTGAGTGGAACATGTGTGTGCAACTTTCTATTAGGATGCCGGCGGGATCTGATTTGGCATATCGGGCTAAGCGCTTCAGCTGAAGGTACGACGGCCACTCCCTGCAGAGCTTCAAGCTGCGCAGGCATGATGAGGTGGAGACAGACGATCCTGCAGGCTAGGGTTGCTGCAAGGCTGTTACGGGCGCTGAAGGACATGTTTTTGGAAGCACTCCAACGAGAAGCGTGGTCAGATATCACAAACTTAGGCTACAATCTAATTACCGGCTTCAAGAGCTGAAGGCACAAGCCTCCAAAGGGGGCTTTGGGGTGGGGGAGCTACTTGACTTGGCCAGAAGCACAGAATAGGTCCAGGACGTGCCATAGCAAAATAAAGGCTTAACAAGAGCTTGCCTTGCTTGTGCGATGCTTATCCATGCTTTCCCCTATACACATTTTTGGGGGCGCTGGTCAAGTTTATCAAGCGCTTTAAATGCTTTGGTGTGGTCTGGTATGGATATGCACCGGGTAAGCCACAAGCCCTCAATAAGGACGTAGCAAGCCTTGCAAAAGCCGCAGCGCAAGCCTAGAGCTATCCCGTGCTCATGGGTAAGCCAAGTGGCCCTCTTCATAGCCGCCGAAGTCAGTGCATTCTGGCGTGGTGTGTGCGCTTCTCCTGGCTATGCAAGCCGCTGCTTGCGCGTGGAAGTGAATGTTCTCGGCCTGCTTACTCAGATGCGACGCCTGCCCCGACGAAAGTCAGCCCGCAGGCGAGGCATTCACGCAGCCTCTAGTCAAAGCAGCATGCGCATCTTGGCCGCCAGGTGGCGCTTGCCAATGACTCGAAGCCCGTAGGCAGGGCAGACAGATGCAAATGGAGAAACAAACTTGAGTCACTCCTTCCGTGGGGGTTGGAGCAGACCCAGCTTCACGGCAAGTGACGCGGGCTCAATTTGTTGCGTTCCACTTTGTCGATGTTGGGAAGAATTGTCAATTTGCTGGAGCATTCTGCAGGCCTGGGTCGAGCTGGGCTGGACGGGGTTCAGACAACAACAGCATGCATGTCTTGTGCAGATTGCGCGGATTGTGCGGGCCGGTTCCAGGCCGATTGAATATGCTCAGCTTTTTGCTAGGACAGGGGTGTCCGCGGACAGAAGCTGCCTCCGAGCTTTGGGCCGTGTAGGAGGGCAGCGCATGAGCATGAGCCTGTGTACGTTTGTATGGCATGTGGTTTTCCAGCTGGATAAATTTCCAGCTGGATTATCCCCTTGGCGCATGCCACTATCCGAAGTTGGGATGGGTTGCTGTGTTTCGCGTTGGCGGACTTGTTGGGATGTTTGTGAAGATGTATAGGTTGAGTATGCAGTTTGCGTGTCAGTTGCTTGCAGGAGCGGCTTTTGCAACATGTACCTCACCATGCGATGTGAAAGCTGGCGCATCGCGAATACCAACAGTGGTGACTTGCCAGTGTCCCGGCCAGCATTCAGACATTGTTAGACGCAGCAGGCATGGCCTTGCTCGCTCGGGCTTGGGGTTGAAACCATGATAGAACGCTTGAGAGAGAGCCATTAATTGCACTTGCTCTTGCAAATGCATCTTCACGTGCCAACTGGATTTGGTGTGACTTGGGGCGAGTGCCCCGCAAAGAGCGCAATCCAACAAGTTCGGCGCCGTAAATTTGCTTTGGGCGCCCTTCCCAGCACAGGAGGGGCAAATTTCGGGGGACGAAGCCCCGAAACCGGAGGGAACCTGATTTGTAGACTTGCTTTTGCCTAGAGCGCCAAACATGTGCCAGACATGATTTGTGGTGCCTGAGATTGCGTTTGGCCGCTTGTGTGGTGGGACCCTGGGTCCTAAGACGCGCCCAAGACGAATTCGAATTTTCTCTCTGCATAGTATGACTTTGGGAGGGGAACAAGGGGGGGACATCGATACCACAACAGGGACATCGATGGTTCGTGCCATCGATCAAAAACAGCTGGCAGGCAGTGTTCTTTTCTACCATCGGTGTCCAAGCCTCAAGCCTCGGGGTCTGACACCTGGACCCAGGCACTATTGAACACTGGAGCCTCCAACATGCATTTAGCATGCTATGCGCATGCTGAAAAGTTGTGGCGGCAGAAGTTGAGTTTTGTGTATACTATACTTTCTACTGCTACTGAACATCTACAAGCATGTACTTACGTATTCCGTTGTGCTGCAAAGTTTTGATTGTCGAGCTGGAGCCTCCACAACACACATTGTCTGAGTTGGAGCCGATGTCTGTTTCGTGTATCTACCAGTTGGCAGATGACCCTCGTACAACAAAGCATTGTGCTACACTTGTGCTAAAGCCTGACAAGAAGTGGAGGCAGATCCACAAAATGCAAGCAAGATCAAGCCCAGCAAGGGCTTCAAATGCAAAGTCGAATGCGCTTTCGGGGGAAGGGCTCGGGGCTGGTTTCCTGCATTTCGAATGCAGTGGAAGTATCGTGGAAAGACAAGGCATAAGGCTTCTTTTTGCATGCGCAATTGCGGACATTCTGACCGTTTGACATCAATGGATTCCGAAGAGGCACAGCAAGACATGCCCCAAACAGATGCTTCGAGGACATTCCGCTGCTGGTAGCTTTACGCGACCGGGCTGAGCCAGAGGTAGTACGCCAATTGGGGAGCCTCGGCTGTGAGCTTGGCAACGAGCTTGGCACAACCTCAGCAGAAGTGGGCTTTTAAACTTGCTGGCCTAGTGTTGAAGCCTGGCTCCTTTGGTCCCCCGAGTGCCAAACAGATGCTTTGGAGATTGTGACGCCTGTGTAATGCAGAATGAGGGAAGCCACACTTGCTCAGGCTGAACGCCAACTGGACCGTGCTACACGTGACAACAGCTGTGCGGCACCTGCCTTGGCAAAGAGGCTCAAGAGTCTTCCTTGACACCGGAGCTCCAGCGCATGAACGCTTTGCAGCCACTGTTTGGATTCTTCTGGTGGCTTGCACAAGCCCCGCATACAAAGGCCGCAGCATGCAACTCCACTAGAAGTTACCCGCGCAACTTGGCAAGAACATTCCTATTGTCACAGTACTCCCTTCACTCGGAGGAAGTGTGCAATGAGATGAGGGGCCGCAACCCATCAGATGCCGTCAGCCGTATAATGTGAATGAGATTGAACGTGGGCGTGTGCAAGCACGTCCAAAAGTTTCATCTGCACTGAGGCAGACCCAACGTTCCGCTTTGCCGGTTTGCCGTGGAATTACGACCCGCTGCACCCTGATTGCACGAGCTTGAGCCCGTTTTTGGGCCCATTCGCAGCCACCGCCTCGTGGCTCCATGCAGGGAAAGGGCATGCTTG